GCAGTATTGAGAGGTGGAGTCTTTAAGAGGCGATTGGGTCAGCCCTCGTGAAAGGATTAACAGGTGATCCCAGGAGTGGGACTGGTGACTTTATGAAAAGAGAGCGGCTCGGGGAGCACGGTCATCCCCTTGTCATGTGATGCCCGGGGCCACCTCAGGACTCTGAAGAGAGTCTCCACTAGCAAGACGGTCGTCACCAGATGCGGACCCTCAACCTTGGACTTCTCAGCCTCCATAACTTTAAGAAATAAATTCTTTTCCTCTATAAATTGCCCTGTCTCCAGTATTCTATTATAAGCAACAGAAAATGGACTAAGATACCTTGGATCTAAGAGGAAGGTGTGGGGAAATTAAAAAATATTGAACTGAATGAAAATTAAAATACAATGTATCAAAAATTCTGAAACACAGCTAAAGCAGTGCCAAGAGGGAAAGCGACATAAATGCGTATCTTATAAAAAAGGAAACGTCTCAAGTCAATAATCTAAGCTCCCACCTTAAGAACCCAGAAAAAGAAGAGCAAAATGAACCCAAAGTAAGCAGAAGGAAGGAAAATCATAGATAAAAGCAGAAATCAATGGAATCGAAAAAAAACAACAATAGAGAAAAATCAGCAAAACAAAGAGCTGGTTCTTCCAATAGATCAATAAAATGGACACACCCCAGGCCAGACTAACAAAGAGAAGAGAAGACAAAATTACCAATATCGGAATGAAACAGGAGACACCGCTGCAGACTCTACAGACAGCAAAATGGTAACAAGGGAAACGTGATGGTTAATTGCATGTGTCAACTTGGCTGGGTCACCGTGCCCAGATATTGGTCACACATGATTCTGGATGTTTCTGCGAGGGCGTTCTTGGATGAGATTTACATTTAAATTGGTGGACTTCCAGTAAAGCCCAGTGCCCTCCACCATGTGTGTGGGCCTCCTCCCATCAGCTAAAGGCCTGAACAGAACAAAAGGCTGACCGCCCTGCAGGAAGGAATTCTCAGACCGTCTTCAGACTTCCTCTGCAGGATCTGCCCTTCCTGGCTCCTTGGCGGACAGACAGATGGCGGCCTTTGGACGGCACCTTCAACTCCTTCCTGAGTCTCCAGCCTCCCAGCTGCCCTAGGAGATGTTGGACTCGTCAAGACTCCACTATTGCTTAGGCCAATTCCTTGTAACAAGTCTCTCTTTCTCGCTCTGTCTCTCTGTAGATAGAGATATAGACCGATACACACGCATGCACACACACACTCACATACATATATGAGAACTAACGGGATGTGATACATACACATGTGTGCGTGTGTGTACATATACACATGTACACACAACACACAGTGGTTCTGTTTCCCTGAAGAACATTGAGTAATAAAAAGGAAAAAGAGAGAAGACAAATTACTAATGTGGGCATGGAACGGGACACGACTACAGACCTCACAGACAGCGAAGGGATAATAGAGGAATTCGACGAAAAACTCTACACGTAAATTTGACAACTTAGATGAAATGAACCAATCCTTCGAAACCCATAAACTACCATGACTCACTCAAAACAAAATAGATAATCTAGAGAGCCATAAAACTATTAAGGAAACTGAACTGATAATTTTGAAATTCAGAAAGAAGGAAAAGAAAAGAAAGAAAAGGAAGTTAAGTTCAGGCCCAGATGGTTTCCTTGGAGACTTTTTCCAAATGTTTAAATAAGAATTAATGCCAAGTCTACAAAATCCTTCCAGAAAATAGAAAGAAGGGAACACTTTCTAACTCCCTTTATGAAGCTCATATTATCCTGATGCCAAAACCAAAGACAGTACCTAAAAAGAAAACTACAAGCCAACATGACTCATGAATATGACACAAAAATCCTTAACAAATATCGGTAGATAGAATTCAGCAACACATAAAAAGAACTACTCACTGTGACTGAGTGGAATTTATTTCAAGGCTGTGGGGCTGGTTCAATGTCCAAAAATAAATTAATATAGTTCACCATATTAACAGTCTAAAGTAGAAAAATCACATGATCGTATCAACTGATGCAGAAAAGACATCTAACAAAATTCAACATCCATTCATGATAAAAAAAAAAAACTCTCAGAAAAATAGGAAT